AGCGATTTGCATTCAGCGAAAACAATTTTTTTGCCACGATTCTCGTTATGAACAACCTTCAARGCTATAATCCATTATTTCTTCGCTGTCATTTTTCTTAGACACAAATGATTTTTCAAAATGGTTTTTAATGATCCTAAGATATTCCAATAATTCCAATAAGATCAGTTAGTCGTCATTTGTTAAGCAAAAAAAAAAAATTTTTTTGTTTTGACTTGTTGATCATTACTTGATGTTGTTTGCCATTCAGGCTGTTGTTCGTCATCAGCGCGTTCTCAACACTCTCTTTGTTGAATAATTTTACTCATCGTAAAGTCCYATAAACCACTTTATGTCCTTTAGAGAGACAAGTGTGTACTAAACACTAATGATTATGATTTTAATATGACAATTGACATCTAGAAAGAAATATTTCGACGAATGGATTTTCCCGTGAAATTTAAATTAAAAAAAAGGATTTTCTCCACAGTAGTATATGTTCTCTATATGGTCTCCGACGTTTCCTTCYCCCTATACTCGTGGCAAACTTAATATACSCAGCTCTGAGTATTTTCATACTTACATATCCAATTGTTGCGCATACTCAGATATTGCCAGTTGAATACCATTAAAATAACTTAAGTGGTGACTTTTGTTTAGGAAGCGTTGGCTCTTATATTTTTTAGATGTTATAAATTTATTTCATTATTTTAACTTTTTGCATACAATATAATAATAACAGTTGTGCATTTCGGGCTTAAAACTGCACTACAAGTTGCTTCGGTTGCACAATTAACAAATCGCTTGAAGTGGCAGGTGGCAGCCCATGTTTCAGAGGAGTACATGTAGACATTTAAAATGGATTCGCCTCGTTTAAATTTTTATACTAAAAACAACAATTGCAGACTTTTGTGGAAAAGTTTATAGTGTGGATTTTTGGTTGTTGAACGCGCCAAAAGTGCATCCACCAAAACGAAAAATTGCATTAAATTTATAATAAAAGCTGCAGTTGCACCCAAGCAAAGACGCCGAATGTGCCTCACAAAGATTTGGTCGAGTTAACACCCAAGTTTTGTCAAATTGTTTTATTGCTGTTGTTGGCATTTTTCACTGTTGCATAATGCGGCATTATGGTGCAAATATTTTTCGGAGATTTTTTATGGYGCCARCTGCAGAAATGCTTTTGACAAGCGSTGCTCCAACGAACTACTCGAATGTTGGCCGAACGCATGTTGCACATGCAAGCATAGACACTCGAATGCAGGAGCGAACTCCGTCAATTTGCATACCATAAGCCTAAGTACATAACTACAAAAGTATGGACAGGCAAATGTGTACGATGAGTATCCATATTGACGCCACGCAGTCCGCACTTCGCGCAGCTCATTCGGAATATGGTGAATGTAGCAGTCAGGCTGCTTGCTGCCTTTCGATWGTGTAGTGCATTTTTGGCCGCTTGCAGCTTGCCTTGCTGCARGTGAGACTCTCATATGGCGCCACAATGCTGGAAATATCATAAAACCTCAATGTGTCGTCATCAATTGGCTGTTGACTTTTCAGCTGATGACTTTGCTTTGTTCCCCGCCACTTTTGTGTACCAAGGAGTTTATATGCGTTCACATAAAATCGTGCCAGATATATACATACATTCATATATAATTGTTTTTTTTACTTATATATCATCTGGTGAATACTTCCYTGCTTACGCACTGATGTTAGCTTCTGTTGACACAGTGATAATGAACTTTTGTAGTCGTTTGAACTCTCCGTCCATTCATTTACTTCTACTGCTTCTCTCACATATTTAGCTTTAAGCTTTAGCTAAGCAMATTACATAATTCCCTTAAGCTGTACTTAGTCGCGCTCGTTGAAATATTTGAAATGGGTCATTTAATCGGAG